CGTCTGTTGCCTGCCCCCCCCTCCCATCTACAATATAATCTTATGATTTTATAATTTTAAAAACAGATATAATTACATGAATGACAGCCTGTTCCTAAAGCCCCCTGTCCTGGCCGACACAGCATGCATTACTATGTGTGATAAGCAAACTCTCTGCAACTTTCTGTGCAGTTTAGCTGTGGATGGTTGGCAGGTCCTCTTTTGTGGTTTGCTCCTTCTTTCCTGTCAAACATTTATTGATGTTATCACTCTTTTTTTGTGTGTGTTTGTTATTTTCTTGTAACACCTCTTATTTTTGGCACAGTATGACCTTATTATGTTGCAAGTGCCATAAACTGTTACTGAAACCAATAACTCAGAGGAAGCTCCAGACAATATTATATTGAGTCATTAACCCTTCAACCTTGTTTGGTGTGTCCTCAGCTTCCCCATATGGTCAGCAAGGAGTTCATGTTTGCCATCAAGGGTTACTCCAAGGACGGGGAAATCAAGACAGCGCTGGACTGGCTGCAGACAAAGGTGGGGAGATCATTGTCACATGTAATTCCCTCCGCACCCATCCTTTTTTTCCCCATTCTGCTACATTGTGGGTGTGATGTGTATGTGTATGTATTAGAGTCTTCGTGTGGGGAAGGGAGGGGGGGGGAGTAAGATAGTAAGGTAGTGTCTTAATGTTTGATTTTGGGAGTTGAACATATAAGGTTTTTAATTTTATTAATGAAGGGGGGGGGGGGGGTTATGTACAGATCCATTGCACACCATTAAGAGGTAGGCCCTTGTTTTGTTTTGAATGTAGATGCTTTACATCCTCATTGACACGGTTTCAATCAATCGGGAGACCGGCTTGGACCCTGCCTGCCACAAGGCCAGCAGATTTGCGTATGTGTAATCTTGACTTTTATGGCCCCTTTCCTTTTTTGGACTTCTTTTCTCTTCTTTTTGGGCGTGGTGCTCTACATTTGAAATAGCCTATTTTTGCTGGTAGGATTTAAACTCATGCACATTCGAAAATAATGGGGCAACTTACCAGTTTCAAGCTTGGGACAAGTTATCCATTACAAATGGTGGGGGGAGGATTTATGTTTGCTATCATTCGGCATTAGAAAAAAAAACTACTGTTTTAAAAAATATTTTACTGGTTACAAAGAATCTAGAATGGGTTCCTCAATGATTATTTTTATGTGCAGAGAAATGTACTTTTTCTTTTAAACTCACACCTTTTCTTAAAGCAAATAAACAAAACAATGTGTTGTATGGAATTGTCTCATAAAGATAGCATAGGTCGTTTAGGTTTTTTTAAATAAGTAGCTCTCAACGCTCAAGATTACATACAGCATGGTAAATCATACCGCACTTAATCAGACACAGTGCCTGAAAATACTTGTGCACACACACTCACAGCGCAAATCCCCACTCAACAGCAAGCTCTATGCGTACAGTCTGTACTATTTCCCCAGCAGATGTATTAGCATTCTGAAACAATCTCAACTCCCTGGGAAGCATACAGTTCAAGCTGCCAATTATAGGTGCTAAAACATCAACATAATATAAAATACACATCTATAAACATATGTGTATACTCGAAGTTGCCGATTCTCTCCCCCAGTATCGCTGCTGTGGCTTCAGCTCCTATGAGGACTATGAGAATGAGAACCCCGACTACAGCTGCAGCTCTGGTAAACCTGAGGCTTGTGGGGTGCCCAAGTCTTGCTGTGTGCAGAAGGCGGTAAGTGACATAGATGTCATAGTACTTGGTGTTATTGTCTTAACCCTGTCAGTACGTCATGTTTTACTATCGTATCCATACGACGTGGGGAATTCTATGCCACTTCTTCCAAAGAGGAAATTTACTCGTTAATCCGATCTGTACACTTTACATAGCCGTCTGTAAAAAGATTTTTTGAGAAAAAGTGAAAGTTTCAAAGAGGTCTTCGTACTAGAAGTATTCTAAAATGTGAAGAATATAACCCCGGCTGTACAGATGACCCCAGGGCGTACGCATATGGTTCAATGTAGATTTGTTATCCTGTGAACTAATTGTTGCCCCATTATGACAAACAATTCAAAATTATGAAATAAGTCAGGGTATTTCAATCAGGCTGTGGCTTTTCTTTTTTAGCTGGTTTTTTTTGGATCTTGAAAGTAACCTGAAGCAAATTATGCCACAAATTTCTTCAATAGCAACTATGATATCAGGTTTTTTCACCTGCTGGTATGCGTGTGAACCTGTATTTTATTTGGTGCGGTGAAAATTGTATATGCTTTTGGATAAGTTCTTTTTATTCAGTTCAGACAAACTTGCAAGGGTGAAAAGGATTAGTCATGCAGATTTGTTTTGTGTGTGCATATTGATATTTCTGCTGTTGATATTTCTTTATTTATTTAAGGCTTGGTGCTTACAGGAAGGAGGCAAAAATTGGAGGGTTATTTAAAACATTCTTTCTTTCACTTCTTTTTTTCCTCTTTTTTCCCCCCTGATATTTTGTTAAATCTTGCAAGAACACCAATTTCCCCATTACTTTCCATGCTATGAGATGTTAGTGGATATTCTGATATTGTCTGTTTCCCCTACTTCTTTTCTAGTTTTCTTTTTTCCTTAATGTAGACTATAGCACAACAACAGCAACAGCAGTATCTGTCATTAAGAGCCATTTACTTGTACAGAACCTCAGCAACATCATCTTCCCTGCCGTATGACAAACTCTCATGCTCAAGTTGAGGTGACACTTCACAATGTTTTCTCTCTCTTTTTCTCAGGGCATGGCATTACCCGAGTCCTGCGGCTACGGAGTTATTGGGAATGCTACGGTAAGTGCAATTTTATGGAGTGCTTCTACTTGCTTGATAGTTCTCTATATAAACTTATAAAAGTATCTTTGGATGAAAGTTCAAACTGTTCTCTTTGCAATGGTTTTTTTTTTTCACTAACAAGTTTGTTTGTACAATTAAAAGAGCACTTCACGTTTTATATTGTAATTTATGATTTACCTCATGAGTTAAAGGGTAACTATCTAAGGAAGAATATTTGTCCATTTTGCAGATATGACAGTCAACGCGTCTTTGATTTCTTTTAGATTGGTTGTACTATTTTGATCCAACAGCAGTTTGGCCTTTCAACTCGTGTTTTCCCTTGATAAGTTTTGAGCTTATAGCCCACTCTCTTGTCGTCTAATCTCCTGCGTTTTCAAAAGATGAAATGCTCTCACTTTGTACAGCATGCATGTGGCTGGAGTGCAGGAATTACAGGCCCTGGAGCTACTTCTTTTCAGTTCCTCTGCTTTAAAGAAATGATTTTGAGCAGAGGGTGTGGCCCAAAGTGCAGCAGAATAAGAACATCGGCAAGGAAGAAATAGTCACCATTCACATACATACCTGCTTTGTATTCTCTAGAATGAGTTCATTCTGTATTCCCCCTCCCCACCCCACTTCAGAGAACAGATAAAGGGACCACAGTGTTTCCCTGTCAGTCTTGTCTACTCCAAAGTTAATTCTTTCTATACTTGTATCCGTCATCTTCTCTTGTGATTATTTTCATCCCAGTTTTGCTTACATTTGAAAAAGGTGCAGAAGAATAAGTTAATTTTCCTCTCCTTTCTCATACCAGTCTTGCATATTTTTTTAATAGTTTAAGAATATTTTGTTTTGTCTCCCTCCCCCCGCCTCCCTTCCCGGGCAGATGTTTGACCTAATCTATGTGGAGGGCTGTACAGGCGCGCTGCTGCAGTGGCTGATGGAGCACCTGGACCTGGTTGGAGCCATCGCCCTGGGCTTTGCCATCCCACAAGTATGTCTCTACTGATCACTCACTCACCTGCTCTCATGATTTTCTTGTGTCTCTGCTCAAGAAGCATCACATTAATGGAGGTCGCCTTATTTTAAAAATCTGTTTTGCAATAACGCTGATTTTTATTGCAAAAGATGGTTAAACACTGTTGCCTCTCTGAGCTGGCATACGGTAGACATTTCTTACCTCACTGGAGATGTTCTTTTTCCCAGTCAGTGAACATACTGATGACAGTGGTTGAAGCTCACCACTGGTACCGTAGGTCCTACTTCTTTTCTTTCCCTTTGTTGTTTCTGTCTATCTTTCTTTCTTTACCCTTGCACTATCTCTTAACTCAGACTTTGAGAATCTTGGGGTAAAATAACAGTTAAGTGATTTTAACATTTGCTGTTGAAATGACAACTTGCTGATTTTTTTTGGATGCAAAAGTAAAGAGGCTAATCCTTAAATTGTAGTAATAAATGAGTTCATTAGCTCATTTAACAATACATTTTCTGTACCGTACTCTTCCCTAAAAACAAATTCTTTGCTTTTCAACGTTTTCTCGAAGTCGAAACTTTCTCTTGCTTTGTCTTACTGGATTATAGGGCTGGGTCACGAGCGCGAGAACGGAACTGAATCGCCACTATTTCTTGCGGAACGCGATTCACGATTCACTTCAGCGGAACGCGGAACAGTATCGCCAAACGATTCCCGATTTACTTCCATGTCGCTGTCACCACCTTGTGGCTTGTTTAATTAACCTACTGCTGAGTCGAGTCACGAGCGCAAGAACGGAACGGAACACTTAGTATGGCTCCCCTTATTTTACAAAAGATGGTATAGTCCAACCCCCCTATTAAAACGAAATGAACGGGGTCCAACCAATAGACAGAAGGAATTTTATGGAGCCATTGTTTTAGCGAATGGCGGGGTTTTGGGGGGGGGGAGGATTTATGGGGGTCACTAATTGAGGTCAGTTGATAGAGCAGTGCAACAAAGGGTGTGGGGCGGAGAGGATGGTGGAATAACAAGAGTGGGACTCGCGCTCACCAAGAGGCGTTGATATGACACTGTTCCGTTTCAGTCAGTGTTCCGCCACAGCTCCACGAGCGCTCGCGTACTCGCGACTCATTGAAGCCGACTGAATCGCGAATCGCCACTCTCAAATTTGACGAGCAGGATCCAGCCCTACTGGATTAGGGTTTTTCTTGAGTAAAAGGCATTTTTTAAGCCTTGATAAATCCTTGGACGGTGGAGAGCCTAGTTCCTGACAGATCCAGTTGGATAGCAGCAGCCACAGTAGGCAGCAAGTCATATGAGGCTTCATAAATTAGAAATACTGGAACCAAGAGAGAAGCCCTTATTTTCAACTGTCCTTTGGCACTGGAGGCCAGCACTTAACATCAGAACCTCAGTGTTTTCTTGTTGTATCTCTGTTTTTTTAAACATTGAAAATGTGACTTCTTTTTAAGCTCACTCTTTGTTAATAACTGTTTTCACTGTTATTAGAAATTGAAATATGGCAAGAAAGCACTGAGATCGCTATGTCTTACAATTCCCCTCATCATTCAGCAGTAGGTTTCTTGAATTTGAACCTATCAATCATAGGACAATTTTACTTTGTTTCGGCAGTAATGTATGTATTTTGCAAATGGACATATTGTTTTCTTTTATTGTTTTGAATTGTTGGAGGGTGTATCTGGTATATCCTATGTCTTCTTGCGCCCCTTTCTTCAGACAGACCATTCTCCTTTTGGACACGAAGTAATATTTGATGTACGACTCTTTAGATTGAAGAAACACACTTTGTTTTTATTTCAGATCTTCGGAATATTGCTGGCCTACTACTTTTTGAGAAAGGTGAAGGAGTATCGTGTGTGGTACAGAGTGGACAACTTCCGCACCTAGACCGGCCCTTCCTCAATGCTCTCCACCTGCTCATCCGTTCCTGATTGTGTTCCATTTCCCTAACTTCTCCCCTTCCTGTCCCACCACCCTAGCCTCCCATCCTTCTGCCCCTTCCCCTTTCCTCTCCCTGCTCTTCAGTTATCTAACAATCTCCCCGAGCCCTTCTCTTCCTCCGAATTGCCTCTGTCAGACCCACCCCTGACTCTGCAGGGATCACAGCCCGCTCATTTGTTCTTGACCACTTCCATTTTCCCACTCCTTTTCTTCCTCCTATCTCTTTTATCTCTTCTTCCTCCACCTTTCTCCTTCTTCCCCCCGCCTTCATCCTTTCTCCCAGTCAACATAACTACACTGTACATACAACAGTACATCTCACACCTTGAAGTCACGTGATCTGGAACGCAGTAGTGGATCGTCAGTCCATCCATCCATCCATCCATTTTGTCTCAAGTGTTCGTACACAGAGCACATGCTTTATAACAAACCATTTATTTGCTTCAAGAGTTCAGACCTTGAATTGGCACATCCATCCATCCATCAATTTTTGTCTCAAGTGTTCATACAAAAAGCATATGTGAGGCAACATGGTGAAATCAGACGCTCATCAAAATAATGAAAGTAAAGAAACTTACACTTTTCCGCTGGTTTGGCTTGAATTATATTGAAAAACGATTTAAAGGCATAGAAAATGTAAACGGTCAGTTTCCACGGACTCTGAGGCTTTGTAATTAACCAAACTTTGGCGGCCATTTTCTCACTAATTTTACCTCTGAAACCAGCCGATTCGACCTCATTCAATCGCAAATATCTCGATGTGTACTCGAGATAAATGGGTAAATTCTTTCAATGAAAGCAAGGCAAATGAGCAAGCTTTAAGGTCATACCAATAACTCCATATGCCCAAAAATTGACGAGCGCCTGATTCCACCACGTCATGACGAATATGCTTATATAGCCAACCATTTTGTCTTAAGTGTTCATACAAAAAGCATGCTTGCATAGGGAACCTTAGTGTCTCAAGAGTACACACCCTGAACCAATGCTTGCCGAAAGAGATTTCTCCCCGCACTGCTGCTTGTCCCATCCTTCCCTTAAAGATATCTGTGTTGTAGTTTGCTACACATTTTTCATATTTTAAAAACGCTTTTGGCTAGTCATTGTCACCACTGGAAAAAAAAATTTGACATTCCTTCTACATTGAACGGCAGCGCAAGCAATGCTACTCTTGGCTTGCTGGCCTGTTCAGTAGAGCATCTCTTTATTAGCCACTACCCTTTTGTGGTAGTAGATATATGGGCCAATTGTCAACTTTCTGTCAGATGACCACTTTTCATTGACTTTCATTCCATGGTATTCCTTTACAGCCATTTTATTTACATTAGAAGTTCTCGTTGAAATGTTTTTTGATGGATAGATTGCAGGTACTCATCTTTGTGCCGATTATTGTTTTCTTGTTCTGACTGTTTTGCTAAAGTAAGATTGAAAACCGATTAGTCTTGGAGTTGTTAGGCCATTCTGGCTGTTTGTAAAGTTTGGTTCGATCGTAATTCAAAACAAATAGAATTAGTTTTGGTTAGGTCAAGGTCCACTTGTTTCATTAGTTCCAAGTCATCATGCACTGCTGGGTTCTTTTTCTTGAAAATTATTCCAACAACGAGAACGCTTTGATATGATAGGTTGTAGTTCACTCAACTTTTTTCCTTCCAATGTGACAGTTTTTGGAGGTGGGTTGTCATTATGTCCATCCTGTTTGTATAGATGTTTATGTACAATCAAGTTCTCTTTGAGAATTCAATTCTGTGTTTATATCTATATTTACGCATCCTGTCCTGGACCTATTTAAACATTTTCTGAATTTTTTTTCTTTTTTTTTCTGTTTTATCGGTGACATTTCCACCTCAGATATTGACACATTATTGTGTGCCTCAGCTTCTCCTTACATTTCCAGTGCGGAATTTCTGGATTTTTCATTACTGTGCTTTTATTTTGGTCAATAATTTTTTTTGTGTAGCATATAGCTTTTGTCTTTTATCCTGCTTTATTAGAATTTGTTTTTAAAATTCTACTTTCTATTCATCGTTGCACAAACTTACATGCCTCTATTGAGCATCATTTGTACCCCATTTTCTGTCTCCTATAACGAAACTTGTTTGGGTTTTTTTTCATGTTGTATTTAATGATTTTTATTGAATGCTTCAATTTGTTTTAAGTTTGATTGTAATTTGTTTGATATGTTTTTTCCTTTGGGGAAAGGAGTTTAAGTTTTGTCCTTTTTTTATGCATAAGAATGCAAGTATACTTTAACTTTAAACAGAAGCATGGAATGCTCTTAAGTGTAGGGATGTTTCTGATTAGATGTGATACAACCATGTCTATACCTGTTGCAATAAAAGAACACTTTCTTGCAGTTATCCTGTTTGCAATTGCGAATTTTATATTCTGAATACTAGTCGCCATTTTAGTTTTTGTGGAAACTGAAATGTTATTCAATTTACAGCATATATTGTTGATGAAATCAAGAATTATGCATCAATAAACATATGTTGCAATGTCCGGGTATTTTCATGGAATTGCCTTCTCAGGATTCTTCTTTAAGTCACAATTCTTAAAAGATAAAGGAAGGAAAAAGCTTCAATTTTTATCTCTTTTGTCTTAATTTGAAGGGCCAGTGGCACTTTTATACAGTCTTTGTTATATTATATTGTTGAGTTTAATCGTGTAATTCCTATTATGTGAGTTGGGCTACTACACCTTCTTACCCTGGATAATATATTCGAGATTTTGATCATCTGAATAGATAATGCATCGAAATCTTTTTAAGATACATAACTGCAGTAATGTAATTTACTTCTTGTCTAGCTAATCTTGCACTGCAAAGCACAACCGACGAAATGATATTGAAGAGCAATAATTGATACGAAGGAGAGCTATAAAGGCTATTATCTTTGACAGCAAAATTAAAGTCTGGCTTTCATGATGCAAACAAATTAAGAGTTGCAGAAATGCTGTTTTGTGGATGCAGTGTTTCTTTTTTAGAACAAAGTAAAACGTTTTGCTTTGAGAATTTCTCAGTGTAAAAGGTTTGGAGGATTTTGCTCTCTCTCTAAGTTGGTAAATGGTGTAATGATTGCCTGTACCATAATATTATGTTCAGATTTCATTGTCCAGTTCTAAAATTTATACAGATAGGTTTTATTATTTCTTGTATGATCAGCTCTCTCAGGAAAAAGGAAATTCTTATTTACAGTTTGAGAAGAATCTCAAGAAAATGAAAATACTCGCAGTTGTTATTTCCTTTTTAAAAACTATGTGCGTCTGTTGTAAAAGAGCATTGCACTTTATTTTGTATGGTTTGGTTTCGTTATGCCAATATTTTCATAATGACACCCTTACAGTTAATTTGCAAAGTGAATCTCATATGTTAAGTTGGGTGTTTTACCGTATATTCTTTTCTTTTGCACCATAATTGAGATGATATATACCTATATATATGTATACTTGAAACTTATTGAACATCATTATTTTGGTTTTTGCTTCCTATTAAATAAAAAGTTGATGGTTGTGTATATTTTTTACTTCATTGGATGTGACATAGGCTGTCTTAATTGCCAATTCTTCTTTCTTGCCGGATTGAAAAAAGCCCTAACATGTTAGAAATCATGTGTTGAGTTTCTATGGGTCGTTTTCTTTTTCTGTTCATAATGTCATTGAGAAAAGGATGAAAGTCATGGTGCATTCATTTCTATCCCTTCAAAGGGCAAAATATTTTTTTTATGAAATCTCGGTAGAATATTCATGTGCAATACAAACTTTTCTGACAAATTCTAAAATCTCACCAGAAATCTTGCCATGTCAACAACTTTGCACCCCTTCTCTTATTTATCAATTAGGATAGACCACGTTTTTACCTTTTGTGTCACCATTTTAGTCGTATCATCACAGATGATACTATTGGGGTTTTGGCCAGTATGATTTACCTCAACTCTCTAGCGTTTCTCCTCATTTCTAGTATTGAATCTACCCTCATTTTTAGTCTTTTTTGTGGGTCTTGCTCAAGTTATCAGATGAAAATGCACCTGGGAACTCAGATTAAGGAATCAAATGTAGGATATTTAGTGGATTTGCTTGCTGTTTTTTTTAGCATTGCCACTTCTTGAAGCTTTCGTCAGTGTAGATGTGTTATTTATAAGATCACACATTTCCCTAAAATTAAGGCACTTTCCCTGTCAGCCAATGTCAGTTGTTACAGTTTTCAAGTGTCATCAGGCCGGGAACAGTGGTGATTTATTTCGAAAATGTGACCTGTTGATACAGATGTAGACTAAGTGTAACGTGGAATGATTCTATTGATTATTTTGACATCTTGGAGCATCTGTTTGAATATGCCATTGTTGCCAGAAATTCTGTGCTTCAAAGAGCCATTTTCCTTTCAGGTTTCCAAACTTAATGGGAATACCTGTATTCTATGGTGCTATGACATTACAGTACAACACCCAGCAACAAAGTCAGATATTTTTTCTTTAAAGATCATGCTTTAATCATTAGTTATTGGTAGACAAGAGCATTTGTACAAATTGGCATTGAAGAGGTTTTGGATTGTATAGTATGCAGTGGGTTTTCCTGTTATCTTTACTGCTTGTGTCAGGTTTGATTATGTCTCATTTTTTTAGTGCTTTGCTGATATTTATAATGCTTTGTACACATTTTTTTATTTCATAATCTTAATTCAAGCATACTTTCTTTTTTATTATTTTACCAAAAAGAAACTTAAAGCGATTTTGTTGAGTTTTATTTGTACAATTCTGACATATTTTACTGGCGTGTGTATGTGTATTTTACCATCATCTCATTGGCATTTACTTGCTTTTTCCATACTCTCTATTTCTCTCTCCGTCTTGTACATCTCATCTCCTGAAGAAACCACTCATTAAAAATCTTATGTGGCATGGTTTATTGACAGGTTTTTGAGGTTATTAATACTAAGCAATTCAATTTTTGTGTTTTTTTAATAACTATATGTGAAGCATCATGGTGAAATCAGCGCTTGTCATAATAATGAACTGAAAGAATAAGAAAATGACATTATTTTTTGTTGCGTCAATTAGGTCCTTAAATTTTTTTAAAACGTTTCTGTATGGATTTTTCAGAGAAACATTGATCAAGCAAAGGCACAAAAAGGTTGTTTTGAAGGATATTTAAACTTTGTTTGTTTGTTTTAGTAGAGGTTTTACGGCGCTCGCAACTGCATAAGGTCATATGAGTATTATGAGCGCCAATATTTAAACTTTAGAAGTAACCAAAATTTAGGGCTCATTTTCTTGCTAATCTTTCTTATCAGGCAACTCAAACTCCTTCAATCACAAATATTTTTATTCCTATTTGAGATGAGATATATATTCCTTGGAAAGCAAGACAAAATGAACAAGCTTTAACTTTATGCCACCATCACTCCATATGCCCCAAAATTGACGAGTGCCTGATTCCACCATGTCGTGACACACCATATGGATCTTCAACCTCAAATAATACATTTTCTCCACAGGAAACTTCTATCAGTCACAGTGTGTCACTATTCGGTAGCTACGTTTCTAGTAAAATGGCATCAGTCACATAAATGGCTCACTAGTTTATAAAATATAATTATATATTGAATTTCAAGGGAGATGTCTGGTTATGTTTGTTTAGAATTTGTTTATAATCTGTTTAATCAGTCTTGTTTCATAGTGTTATTTCTATTACAATATAAACTTCTCAAACTCTGTTAAACTCACTCAGGCAAAATGTTGTTAAGCCGACTAAAGTTCGAAATATTTGCAATAGAAATAAGGGGATCTTTCTCCCATGTAAATACCGACATAATATTGAGTGTTTTCCTAGTTTTAGGTATTTGTTGTCTTAGCCACTTCATTGTGTAAGTCATCTTCATTGTGTAAGTCATCTTCATTGAAGTTCATGTGTATGTTTTTCTTAATCAACAAAACTTTTACTGGTACAATTGTGCTGTGTACACCGTTAAGACCATTTTTTTAAACAAAAAAACCTTTCCCAAATGTCCATCATTTTTATGCTGACTGGAAATTCACTTTATACTTGGAATTGCTTCATGGACATTTGTTAGTAGTGCAGTCTTGTCTTCAATGACCAGCACCACCGATCTCATCATGGATGTTGTGTCTGCAAGGTTGTTTTATTAATTCATTAGTGCGTTCGAATGTCTACGAACAATAAAGCTTTTATGTCTGTACTCTATGACTTTCTTCATGTTGTTTTTTCCTCTTTAAAGGTCAGTGCAGATAGAGGATACTAAGCTCATTAGAAAGGAGATATAAATGACAAGCTTTGGTATTAATAATTGTACAAGTCCTAAAATGTCATTGACTGATCTGTTTCCCACTTTGAAAGATAGCTTGAGGATAAAGACAAGTCAGAACAAGATAAAAGAGTGTGCATAAAAAAAAGACATGGATGTGTAGATAGTAATGAGGGTCACACATTTCAAATCTGGCGGAAAAGGCAGGGGACGATGGTGATCACCATGAGGACTTAAGATCATGCTTTTTCAAATGCAGAGGAGTCCGCTTTTAAACTGAAAATGGTAAATCCGAAAACAGCAGTAAACGGAAGCAATATAAAATCCGCGGGGATTTTTTCCTTCTGTGTCTTTGCAAGAAAACTACCGAGAAGCCAAAATGCTCCCATTTCTAAGCCAAAAAGAAAATTGTGGGTTATGTTGTCTAAATCTTTATCAACAACCCACAAGTAAGTAACGCAAGATAGTGATAGTGAAACAGAAGAAAGAGACGTGAGAATGCGTGTGTCAATTATTATAGGGCTAAAAAGAGGCATCGCCTGTGTACTGTTTTCCTATATCTAGCCCACACATCAACAAGCCTACAAACTGTGTATAGGCCCCTAGTGAAGCAAGGACAATGAACGTACGTTTGTTGTGTGTCCTTTGGATGGTCATTGCCTATTGTGTCCGTGAAGCTAGTTCACACAGTTCCCACATAATACGAGCACATGACAGGACATGGTGTTTTTCATAACCTCGCTGATATTAGTGATATTGGGTTTTCTTTCTTAATTGTCTATCTCCTCTTTTGTCTGTTCTGTGTGACCGTTTAGTAGATTAAGTGATTAAGTAAGCAACAATGTCAAAGAGAAAGCACAATATAAATAGAGCTGCAGCTCAAATTGCAGTAACTGAAAGAGATAGATCTAGGTGTGAAAAAAAAACTTTCAAAAAGTGAAATTTGATGCGAACATAGCTTTCCAAACTCAACGCTGTCAGCAATCATCACTTTATGAGCAACCCTCTCTAAATCTAAATAAAAAATATGGCTAAACCAAAGAAAACTGCCACTGGCAGTCTGGCAGACTTCTGTTTAAGCAGACTCCACTGTAATTACTCTCAAGGGAAAACTCGTTGAAAGAGAAAGACTTATCAAAGAAATTATTTGCTTAGAAAAAAGGTCCCAGTTGTCGGAAATTTGTTATATTGAAATAAGAGCATATTCTTGAACCAAATTATATTCTGAACATGCTGATTTTTTAAATTGTTCACATATTATCTTGAGTAATTTTAAAGATAGGCCACATTTTGTAACACAAGGTGTAAATACAAACTTTGTTTTTAGTGTGAGCGGAGAAAAACACAATTTCTTGAACATTTTTAACCTTTGGTGAAGTACAGCATTTAAAAAAAAAATAAAAAAAAATATTTAACCTTTATATGTTATAAAATCCTTTCAACATAAGTTATCTACACATACTATATTTGTGAAAGTTCGTCACTTTGGTCGCCTGAAACTTCCGAACCACTTAAATATCGAATTTGACAAAATTATTGCTGGTTCAGAATCATTTAAAGGGTGCACAGTTTTATTGAGGAGTCTGAAGTCACTTTAGTTTGACTTTCAGTTTTTCATTAGTTTCGTTAAGATCTAATCTTGGGAAAGTCCGTCTTCTAAGAAGCCATTGTAAACAAGTGAGGGTTGCGTTTACTAGACTAGACGTGCGCACTGTGATTCCACACCTTTGAAATTCTGGAGTGTACAACCTCAAAAGCGGAATAGAGAATCAATCTATACATCCCAATATCTAGACCTAATTTTTTGCATCTCTCAAGATTTATTGCTCCATTCCAGTAAATCAATAAAGTGTTAATATAGTAGGCCAGACTTTCAGTTGATGTAAGTGCGCCGACCATTCCTTTCATCGAAAGGGGGTCCAGCTAGTTAAGAAATAGTTAAACATGTCTTCTGATGGAACTAAATTTTAGACCAGGAACGTCTTTTTTTTGCCCTTTCAACCCGTTGCTGAATAGCTTTGCCAAAAACCGGGACCTTTCTCCAGGCACACACACAATGTACTTTGAAAGAGACAAAAGAACGACGAAGAAGACAAACCCTGCACATTGACAACTTATGTCAAGAGTCCCGATGGCCACAAAATCATGTTTCTACAGTTAAATGTAAATGCAAAGCATACATATTTTATGGTAACTGTTATTCGTAGTTGGATGCAAACAACTTGCAACTAGACATACCAGCTGTATCAGGTAATGGAATGGTCCTTATTAGTTTTCTTGAGCAATGCCGTCAACAAATACAGACTTCAACATAAGTTAAGGACCACTTGCAAACACTCTGTGGTCCTATTGGGTCGACCTGCACGTGGGGTTCTCGGACTGATCCAGTGGCTTGATGGCGCTGCCTCAAACGGACAATGACAGAGTGTGACATTGCAAGCCTTCTGGCAACTTTTTGGGTTACAATTCCATCCTGCAGCCATGCCATAGCTCTGGCACGATCAAAGTCTTTCAGCTTTCGTCTCGGTTTCATATTGATGCGATACTGGATTTTGCGCAAACAGCGGCTTATATTGCGACCAAAGTGAGCACAGCTCGAGATCGTACGTCCATTTATGACGTGCACCAGAAATTTTAACTGAGGAATGTACGTGGGGTTGCACACAAGTCGATAAAAAACAGCAAATTTGGTTTAAATTCCCCGAGGATTTCCGTGCTGCACGAGGTGGGTTTTTTTTTCCACCTCTTCTCTCACTTGAGAACTCTTTCCTGCTTCAGACAAGGTGCGAACATTCCACGACGCAATCCGGAGAGACTTGTTCGACAGAGAAGGTTTCAGGTCAGAAGAGTCCTTTCGGCTTTGTCCGCTGTCCTTCATTATTCCTGCTGATGCAGAAGCTCCTCCGTCTCCCAAGATGGAAAAATTATAAGGCATGTTTGTTCGTGTTTCCATAACTTTCCTTTTTCACTAGGTCGGGTAGTTGGCCCTCCGCAAACTGTCACTTTTCATGTGGCCAGACCTATGCACCTTTAGTTGCCTCTTACGACACGCAGTATCATGGCAGGTGTATTCTTTACTCCCCCATAGTAAAACTATGAGGCCCCTCACTTGCAGGTGGTTTTGGCTCTATAGGAAGCTTTGCAGTACGCATTGTTAACCCGTCAACACTTTCAGAGCAAAACTTTTTTAAACATTCCTTGCTGTCTTTTCTTTCGGATATTTAAAAAATCTGAGCTTTCTGTCAAGGTAGTCCTTAACTTACGTGGAAGTCTGTAGCTCGTCGGCCACCTGTATACATCATTTTCATTCATCCAGTGCCAGATCTGTGACAGACATCGGCGATCATGGTTCTCCATTCATTCCTTTGCTCGGATGTTCTTTAAAAAAGCTACGTTTCCCTGATCTTTCCCCGTTAGCCATTTGTATACGTTCTCCAAGTAAGTTGCTCTGGGCCTACCCCTGCCTCGTTTGCCTTCAAAGTTGCTAGTGACTGCTAGATGTTCAAGACCTTTGTCTGTTCAGGTGTCCCAAAACTGCATTTGCCGTTTCCTGATTGTTTTTAACAGTGAGCGTCCCACGTGGGCTTCATCAAGCACTACCTCATTTGATTTCTTTTACTTCCACGATATTCTCAGCAGTCTCCTTCGAAACCACATTTCTGTAGCTTCTATTTTGTTCTAAGTCATTTACACTACTCAAAATTAAAAATAGCTAACCAGTAATATTGCACTGCTAGTAAAATACACATACAAAGACAAGGAACAAATGTACTTCTTGAACAGAAAGCAACAGATTTTATTCACCATGGATGGACAGACAAAGAGTCTTGTATGCCTCCGACAAAAGCAGCACAAAATTAAGTATCCTAAACAGTACAACCATGACAGATTATCAAAAATATATATATAATATGACATCTATATTATATATATGAAAATGGCGACTGATACTAGACTGACCTTCTTCTCTCGCAGGCTGTCATCAACCAAAACCAATTCACACACCAACAATAACATTACCAGCGGGTCAGAAAAGATAACACTACTCATCCCAGGAGCATTTATTGTCATAAACGTGCGGCCTAAGCAGAAGACAAACAAGGATGTATCCATGGCTGTCCACCTTTAAAAAATTTCAGACACCATAAACAAATCATTAGGGCTTGACTTTCAACCATACATATCTCTATCTTTAGACCCTACTGTAACCAACAGTTTACACTGAGCAGATCTTTCCAAAATTACACACTAGTAACTTAAAACCAAAACACGTTGACTACTAGCAATACCCCTCATCATCTGCTTTCTGTCCTCTTCATGCACATTTTATTTTTTTTTGGACTCCATGAACCAGACACATTTCATATCTCAAAACACTTTTCTTGAACTGTCCAATTAGGTGAACAAATTATTCATGATGATATGGATAAAAAACAATGTTTTCTCATTACACAATGAACATGAGACTAACAGCTACATTGTGGTTTAATGTGAAACCTCACTATTCTACAAACTAGGTCTGAAGCTACTTATTCTTCACATTCAGGAAAACGAAAGTCAGTCAATCAATATATCAATAGATTTTAGTCAAGTAACAGATTCTCCTTCTCATGAATACGTTTTTGAGCAACAGACAAAAATTTAATAACACTTCAAAGTCAAAGTGAGACTGATGTTCGTCTTATTACTGAGATTATACTGCTGCTGCGTGAAAACTATTTTCATAAGCTAAAATATGGGGAAAACTATATTCATTTAGCTCAACTGATTGAGGCAATCCATTATTAACAGAGCAGAAGTAAATCAGTGAATAAAATAATTTCTAAGAAAACGACGTCAGCCTTCTTCTACATAGAGAGGTTAACAGAGAAGCATCAAAAACGACTTGTTACATTAAAATAAAAACATTTTGTGGCAAAGCTTTCAGATTGTGCATATAATTTTTTTAATACAGTAATGGTGACTAAAAATAGAGTTCAGGGCTATTTTTACCCCTGATTATTTTTCTGAGCCCCTTTTTCAGATTATAGCTCAGCAACACAGTCTCTTTTGAGCTGACATCTACCAGTGATCGTTCCTAGATGTAGTATGCCTTTATGCTCAGTCTTGTCAAACAATTGCCCAAGTCAAACAATGAACATACACTCATGTTTGGAATTAATCCACTTGCATCCAACAAAACAAAATCTAAACCAATGTTTCTGATATGTAGAATCCAGCTCAGTGTTTTCATTAATGAAATTCATTTCAAAACAGAAAAATAGCAGCAGTAGGAAACACAAGAGACTTTTAAAAATAACAAAATTAAAAAATAGACACAGTAATGAAGAAATTGGAGAGGCAGCGACAAAACTAACATTTTAGATTTTAACTAAAGATCAGCACCTTGACATAATGAAGTGCATGGCATTGAACAATGAGGACAAAGAGATAAACAATTTATAAGACAATTCAAGGAAGGACTGCTTCAATTCCTGCTCAACAAGCCAAAACAAGGTCACATAGTGCACATCCAAGCAGGAATGCAGAGACGGTCAATGAAATGTCTTCCTTTAAAGCGGGCAGATCTCAAAGTCAAAGAGTGCGATGTGAAGAGCCAAACCCTCCAACCACAGACTCTGGTAAGAGTATCTGATGAATGGGCAAAACATTGGATGGCCTGAAAGACAAACTGTGTCAAAGCTCCAGCCATCAAGCCTCTCCCTCTCCCCTGAGACATGTTCACCTCTGCCCAGTGAGTCCCATGAACTCTCCATGAACTTTTCCAATTCAAATCAGCCATGCCCAAGAGATGATGACAATGGTTTGAGAGGAAAAGAAGTTAGCTGACACAGTGGTGAAGGTATCATACTTCAGCAGTAGGAAATATATGTTCTACACCCCTACAGGGATTGTTCTACACCCCTACAGAGATAAGCCAGATAAACCATAATTAGGAGCCATGCTGCTTCAAACCTGCCATCCAGGTCCAATCCAGGCTACCTGGGATACATCTCAGTCAAGGAGACACTCAAATACTATTACTATTATTAGATGAATCTACGTCCTCTGCATGCTAGGCAAAGTACCTTACCACGGATAATAAGATTGCATTCTTTTATAGCAAATATCCCTGTTCGAAAGTAGGATCTCCGTGATATACATTTTATTTTTACCCTGACAGACCCTAAAGCATTCCAAAACCTTTCCAGTCAGCTTCCTGAGAAGCAATCAATGCAAGCTGCCGCTCACATTGTTTTGGGGTGGATGGTAGAAGGAATATTGACAGGTAGAAACAACAGAGGGGATAGAACAGAGCCAGTGAGCCCTTCAGCTGCCTGGACAGAGATGAAACAATGCTCAGTATGTTCACTCTTATTAATGAAATAAATTGTTGCATCTGAAACCAAGAACAGCATTCTTAAACCCCAACCCTTCATAACTGCAAGGCAAGTCTGCCTCACACTACCCTGGGTGCATATAAGACCAATACATAACAATAAAAGACAAAAGAAAAACATAAGAAGACAACAAAGAGAGACAGAAAAGAAATATCCGAAGTTGCTAGTACTTCCCACCCAAAAGTACGAAAAATCAGAAAACAAAATCCCGATTAACGACAACAAAAACATAATTGCTGAACAAAAACAAAACTGGGTAGAGTAGACATGGTGATTGTCTTCAAATTCTATTTTAAACTCATCTACACACAACTTTAAATGATTATGCATCATTCTGTTTAGTTAGATTAGATCTATACATATTCAACATTATACCTCTTTCTTAACTACTTGGGATTCCTTGAGGACTCACTCATGACTCATAGTCACTGAATAAGTCATACATTTCTGAGCATTCCTACAGCTTATACATGAAATGAAACACATAACAGGTTCAGCTTACTTAATTCTATCCCCTCACAGAACAACAAGCACCACACACAGAACACACTTTAAAGGTTCTCAGAAAAAAACCCAACTTTTTGAAAGCAGAGACAGCAGAAAGTATAACGTCGGTAGTATCCTCCGGTGGGTTGGTTCGTAAATATAAAACTTTCCTTCCTCCTATTTCATCTTTAGATGAAATACGGATTCATCACACCTTACGAGAAACCTTTTTACATGTTAAAGAGCTTGATTCAACAATTTCTATAACGTAAAACACAAGCACACAGTAATCCATATTCAATGTGCTCAAGATTTTAATACTTCCAACTGACATCCACATAAAAAATACCTGCCCATACCATCACCAACGGGACGCTGTTTGGGGGAGAAACTTGCAGCTCATCTAGGAAGCCAACACTGCCACGTAAAGCGTGATTACTAAAAAGGCTATATCTAAACTTAGGCAAGGCATTTCCATAAATTTTTCCCAGTTCATTTGATCTTAATTTTCTCAGTCTCAAAACATTGCTGAGCACGCTTGTGTGATTTCATTAATCCTTCTATACAAACAGCACCTTTTAGTTCTGCAGTGCCTGGTATCCATCCCAAACTGTAAGCAGTGATGCCACGGCTCTGATGACAATAGATAAGACATTTTATTTAATTAAATCCAAGAGATAAGCCCATGTCAAAGTGTACACATCACAGTAACTAGATATCAACATTTACAAATGACAATGTACCTGCAACATCTTGGGAATATGCCAATCGATAAAGATTTATTTCACCTTATATCATGAAAGGACAATCAAGTCTGGCATGTTCACTATGTGGATGGAAATGACTTGTTCAGCATTTTCAGTTTGTCTTCAAAAAAAAAAAGTGCTCACTGTGAAAATCTGGACACATGCTCTTTCCGTCCTCAAAAACGAGCACAAAAATGAGGATTCGTAAAAATAACCAACCAAGCAAACTGTTGTCCAAGCAACTGTCATAAAGCATAACAGCATGGCAATAAAAACCAGTAAGGCGTACAAGAAGTACAAAAAAAGTGTCCTCGCTGCTTTCTTAATGTTCCATTTCTTTACAAGAAAGAACTTTTACACAGAAATATACCTTAGATTCTGTAATTGTTCATCTGTAGCACCAGAAAGCTTTTACTTTATAAATCTACAAACTTCTCGTCAATTACACACAGTTCCCTTTGACGGGACTAGATAAACTAACGAGAACACCTTACTTTTGATACGGTACATGTGTGGCAGCCAGACACATTTTTATTATCTGACAGTTTTTCAAGGGAATAAATTGTCAGTCATGTAACTGGAGATCCTGATCAGGCCAATTTAGGACGATTCTTGTTCATGACTTCAGTGGGGATAACTCAAACGCCTTTTGTGTACACTCGTATAAATATATATATATGGATATTTGGGGATCTATTAACCCACAATCTCTTTTGGGGTGCCCAAAACCCCAAATTTTAGAGGTCATGTCCTATTTGAAATACGTTTGCGGAGGGAGTCTGTGGCAATACTTGCAGAACATAGAGGGTCTTTGCTAATTAGCAATCAACAGTTACAATGCTATGGGCCATGTTCAAACAGGAATCTTATAATAAAAATATTAATTATGTGCAATTTAAATTAGGACACCCAATCAAATGAGTATCTTTAAACTATGCTCTTATAGAATTAATTGCAAGTTCACAAAGACAAAAATGTTAAAGCCAAATAAAATGAAAATGTTCTAAGGGAAATACAGAAATGAAAATTGAGGCTTTCACTTTCACCAACATAATTTCCATTTTCACAAATCCTTGGAGTTAATGCTGTTTGCAAAAGTTTACAGTACATGTCTAAAATCTGAATCATAATCAAACCTTTTAAGTTCAAAGAGATGCACATCAACACAATGATGGCTACACGGAGCTGTGAGACACAAGATGACATTAGACATGAAAAAATAGAAAAACAGCAGGATCTTCAGATGGTGCCCTCCATCCACACTAAAAGAGGGTGCGAAAGGGAGGGCTGGAGGGAAAAGAGAGTACCGTAAGTCAGACTTTACAAGATCATTGTAAACAAAGACCAAAAAACCCCAAAAAATATAAACAGACGAACCAGTGACACAGAGAAACTAGCCAAAACATACCTCTCTACCCCAATCCCCATTATGTAGATCGTGTAGGAACAATAATAGAATGAAAAAATGTACAGAACTCAGCTCTACAACAGTGACATAGCAGGAGGAAATTGATCACACAATACCGTACAGCTGTGGAAACCAGCTGAAATAGACAAACGTCCAATTTTCTACAATTGACAACTAGCATGATCACTTGTCAAAAAAAAAAACAATCTCAATGATTGCTCACAACTTAAAGCAAGAAGACACATTATCCGCAGTGTGCTAAACACAGGACAACAACAAAATATCTCACAAAAATAGAGAAAGCCATCAAACTCATATCAAGGAAATCGAAGACCTCACAGCTACAACTTTGACATTGAATATTCTCTACAGGCTGGAAAAGATGATATGGCAGTTAGGGATGGTGTAACTTGAAAAGCTACCTACAAAAGCTGTGCAAATAATGCATGAAACAAGGCACTAATCAATCCACACATCCTGAACAGCCCTCACTTCCAGCTCCCACAGAAGCCTGGCACAGAGAAAATCTGTTATGACCTCTGCCGAGGGTTATGCTACCCATCAATCAATGCAGGCGACATAATTTATGTTTCACATCCAACAGAAAAAATTTCAAAGACTCAATACGTAGACAAGAAAAACTGCCAATGCGCAATGATTGCAGAGCTCAGAATGACTGGTGCCCCTCTTTGATAACTCATTGGGTGAAGACCTACATGACTGACAAGAAAGAAGAAGCATTATGCAGGGCTGCCAGCGACACCAAACTCATGCTGAAAGAAAACCTGGAATCCAAAAACCAGGAAAACACACTCTTGACCTGTAAACATCTCAAACTCATACAACACTATGTGGCTACCGTAACATACCTCACACACAAAACAAAATATTTTAAAATGTAATATATAGGGAAAAGTAATTGTTAGAGGGGCCAGGCATAAAAAAAAAGGAAACAGCAAAGAACCCCTAAACTCTCTACAAAACAACCTGGCTTACCAAATGCCCTTGAATATACTTGAAACTCTTTTGTCTCCATTGCAATATCGCATTTTCCATACCATTATCCACTGAGGAAAAGCTCCCCAGTTGAAAACCCAAAAAAAAATAATAATTTAAAGGCATTAACTTCACAGCAATTCGTTCAGTCATACATGAAGAAACAGGGAAAAAGAGTCAAGCAATGACTGACATGAGTAACATACTCTCCCCCATTCATATCTTCTATGTCATGATATAAATGCACCGTACATAAGCACACTCACACACCAAGCAACTTAAGACACACATCACCACAGAAATACTCCATCAGACTATCCTGACATATAAACATAAGCATGCAATATTGTAAGGTAATATCAAACATTTTTTCACATTGCATCATCCTTCCACTCACTTCCTTTCAACCTTCCACCTCACGCGACTGTCTACACATCAGTTTTAGTTGTACAAATTTAACCTTATAAACACAACTTAGATTGATTGGGAGACCGGTTGCTTTAACCGTGCCTATCAGAGCCAACATATGCCATTTGGGGCACAACATCTCAGATAGGAGACTCTCAATAAAACTTCTCTCCCTACTCAGCAAATCAAACACATGTCTGCATGCACTGCGAACAGCCTAACCCTTACACCACAAATGCCAGCACACATGAATTCATACTTCGCAATAGAAATATAAAGTTGAAAAACAAATGGTTTTGAGAAGAAGCAAACAAAGAATATAATTTACAAAGTAACAAACAACACGTGAAAGCACAACAAAAAAGTTATTTTTGGGCCTTGCCAAACAACAATCCCCCACACCTTATGGGAGAGCTGAAGGCTGGAGTGCAGATTCGCATCAACTATCAAGACAGCGCATCTAGCAGAAAAACCAGTGGAATCAAATAATACTGACGGATGTGAAATGTCCGTAACCAAACAACGAACAATAACATTCACAGCTAAACTATGAGCTAAGCATTTGATACAAGAATGACATGGAAATGCCATCTGAAGATAGAAAGAAATGCACATAATGTCTGACGGCACAAAAAAAGACACACCAACATCACATCCACACAGAGAAATTAATCAAGTAGACCAAAAAGATGAAACAAACAAAAACAAACGAAAAAATCTAGAACATTCAGATTTCTGGAAACTTCTAAAAAAAAACAAGGCAGCTCAGTAACATTAGCATTAGCACAATGCCAGGAACATAAAGGTCTTAAATGTGAGATAATTAGAAGCAAAAGTGCACCCGTAAAAAAGTTATCTCTCTGGGACAGGGCAGTGTTAGACCACAGATCCTGAATACTGCTATAGCCGCTATCGTCACATGCTTGAACACTCAAAGAGTTTGCCAAAGAGAAAGACAACGAGGACCAGAAAAGCCATGTTCTGCACACCTTCCAAAAAAGGGTTTGCTCCCCAACGCTCATAAATGTACTTTTTTACACCCATGCCCATGGAATGAATCCAAGCACAGAACAAGTCTGTCAAACGCGAAACAAAATTACAGGAAGGAAGCAATCAAATATATACAAATCTGCAGCTGCTAAGCAACACTTTTGATGAGGTGAGGAATCGAAACCAGAGACAGCCCTTTCTCATACCAAATTCAAATGGACTCTAAAACGACTAGTCAACACAATTCTAACATTATGTACATTTTTGTGATGCATCTCCTGCTGTCCAGAGAATACACACTTCAAAATTCTTTTCGAGCAAGGGAGCTTTGGAAATAAGAGTCAACCAAACAACAATGAATGGAAAAAACATGGACGATCAAATTAAATAGATACAGTACAGTCATTTACTTCAAAGAACATTTACACCCTTTATGAAATAATGTACAACACCTCTATTCAAGAAAATGAATATTTGCACAGAAATAAAAAATACAAACAAACAACATGGAAATAAAAAAGACAACCTCAAAAAAAAACCCCCAAAAAACCAACATTAGGAGAACAACAGGTTACAGCACTGGTTTGACATTTTTGTACTGTTATCACTGAGATGTTGTTCGATATTATGACTGAACACTATACCAATTTGTAATATCAAAGATATGTCACCCTCAGTTATAAAAAAAAAAAGAAAAGAAAAAGATCTGCGACTACCCTCCAATACTGTCGTCTGTTGCTAAAACAGTAATTGCTACAAGTAATGTAAAGAGTTCAAGTAATTCCATGGCATGGCATGACAGTGAATATTTTCAGAACTCAGTCTCTCCCTACAACCGTTTGGGGCCAGAAAATTGAGAAAGTGCCTTTCCTGTACACAACTTTACGAGCACATACTTTTTTTCCCTCGAAAATTTCAGGGAGAGACTTAATTCAAGTACAATATACAAAACATGTTTAAAAACAAGAAATGTCTGTCAGTAGTCAAAGTTTGTGGACTCGAGAGCACAGCTAGGTTATGGTGTGGTGCTGAAAGAGTTAGGCACAGCAAAGGAAGAAGTCACCTCTTCTTAAATGGCAAATTCAGGCCTGCCAACTGTTTGAAAAGTAGGTCAGGGACAACACAATTCTGAGTTAATTGTTAGTGCAGGTCTGTATACCTACGTAACTTAGTCAAAAGAAAGAAGTGGATACATAGAAAGAAGCTGGAGCCAAAGAAATAAATTGTAAGGAAAAACATTAACCAAAGGTGCAATATTATAAATTTTGATTTGATTAGGCAGAATTTTAAAGTTTTTAACACCTCCATTGCTTGGCCTTTTCTTTAGATAGGTAGATTGTGAGTGGTACCTAACAGAATGATGTTTCAGTAGGAATAATGTAATTGTCCAGGCTATATGTAGAACTTAGGTCTCCTAAACATAGCCCACAAACCTGTAGATACAAATCCCCAAGATCAATTTTTGTGGATGTAAATAGCACGTCCACTGAAGATCGAAGATGTACAGTGGACATTTAAAAAAAATTAAAGCTAATAACACCAGGAAATTTATATTTTCATTTTTCAAATCAGGGACACTCCTGGAAAAATCTGGACAGTTGGCAAGCCTGAAGTTCCAAGCACAAGACCACAGGGCAATATCATTGACAACGCCATGGGCCTTGGTTTCAAGTGACATTTCTCCTCCCCTCAAGGGCATCCTCCACACAGGGTACGGAGAGGACAAAGTGTAGGGAAGGGGGAAAGGGAAAATGTGGTGTGGGTTAAACGGCCCTTTCCACACAGGAGAGGAAGGACATTGTGTAAATCACAGAGACTTTGAAGAAGAGTGAAGAGAACACGACTTATGTCTTCTCAGACTTCTCCACAGGGAATCCACTGGGTTTAGCAAACTTCTCAGAATGAACTTTTGGTTTCTGTGGATATAACAAAAGACAGGTCATCAATTCGAGCTGCAGTACTTAATTATATATTCATCTAGTTGCACTACAGCTTTCGTAACTCTGAGTGAGTAAGTATGTGTTATCATCAGCTGTTGGTCTGAGTCAAACAAAAAAGTAGAATATCAATATAACGCATGCAGGAAAAGTGATAACTCAAAGGAAAGAGCTTTCCTGGCCAGCAGTGTGCTTCAGAAAATGGCAGAGATCCTCTGTTCACTCCACATTCTATATGTTCTCTACACATTCAAAACAAAGTTTATGAAAGAAAAAATCTACCTCAGCGTAGCTCAAGGATGGACTTTTATCTGCACAGTTTTAAAAAAAGCACATACACACAATGATGTTCATGAGAAGGAAAGAAGACATACAGACTGACAACATGAGAGGTAGCGTATAACCGCTAGAGTGCGACCGTCGTGTTATCGCGCCCTTGTCTGCATCAGGCACTAGAAACACGACATGGGGACATAGCTACTCTCACACAGTTGAAAGATCATTTAAAGAGGTGTCCAGTAATATACAGCTCCCATTTCCTTGTTAGGATTGCACGGCGTGGCGCCAAAGTTGACATCCACTCGAAGTTGTTGTTCGATAAGAAACAGGTGGTATGCGTTACAATCCTTCCATATTTTTTCTGCAAGCCTAAAATAAACCTTAACATGACCATTTGGTAGAAAACTGGTTGGAGATTGTTATAATATATAAAACAAAAACCAGTTTGTTTTCACACCACAAGGCTAAATTGGGGTGGCCGTGCTTACAAGATCACAAAATGGAGAATGAACCAAGCATGGCCCTCTAGGGGCCATGTTAACACAGTAAATGCTAGCAGAGGGGTATATGTCTGGTGAGTGACGCCTTCGTATAATTGTTTCCCTCTACATAGACTGATTTCCTCTTCCATACTCTCTCCAATCCACCATCTTCCCTTCAACATCTTTTAAAATTTGAAGCCTAACCACCACCACCAAACTTGACTTCACAGCCAGGGTGTATCAGTTGCAACTAACCGGCCTCCGTGGCCGTGGTTTAAGCGTTCACCTGAGGACTGGGAGGTCAGTGGTTCGAAACCCAGCCAGGTCATGTCTAAGACTTTAAAATAGACACTCAGGTAGCTGCCTCATCTAACGTCGACGAGTTAGTACCAGAACTGGTCGGCCCTATGTCAGTATACTTTGACTGGGTGGGTTGTCCAAGCTGGCTACATTTGATGCCCCTGTGTGGCAGCACGTTTAGGTCTTTGTAGCACTATCCCAAAATGACCTAGTTCTAGATTATCTACTAGTGTTTACGGGATGCTAAACCTTGATCTAGGGCCTTGGGAGACATATCTTATCACCATGCCCGTGTGATCAGACCAATGCCGCGGTTACAAGGGACTTGGCGGCTGCGGGTAGAAGGACTTGCCACGCCTATCAGGATGTTGGGGCCGCGGTAAAAAGGCATGGCCGCGGTCCCATGGATTTCAGTCATTGATTGCTTTGCATCATTGTGATTCGACAAAAGCAAAGAGGGGGACTGTGGTTTAGGAATCGGACCAATCAGATCGTTTCTAAACCGTTTGTGGAGGGAGTAAGGATGAAAATTGAGTTACATGTGCATGGTAGGCGGTTGTACTCCAGTGAAAGAACCTACCAAACTCATTGTCTGAGCACCACGTGTGCATGCGTGTGTGTGTGTGTGCATGTGCTTGGTGTGCGTTTGTGTGTGTGTGTGGGTGTGTGTGTGTGAGTGTGTGAGTGTGTGCCAGCGCGTGCATCTGTGCATATGTGTGTGATGGCAGACAACTATCTAGAGTGGTTGCCAAACCAATTTTACAATTTTTCAAGAGCTTTGTGTTTTCCCTGTGTAATTTACAAATTTCCTTAAATTCTCGGGTATCATTGAACTCATTCAAATTCCCAGGGGCTTGGCAATCACCCTGATTATCCACTGAATGAGAGGGATGTACCAACCTGAGCATGCGAGTTTATGGCCGCACTGAAGACAGGTGGAGAGGTTCCGGGCCCGATAAAGGCACTGGGATGGTGGGAGCTGGCCCCGTGGCTGTGCGGTGGGACTCCCTGGTTCATGGGCACAGGGGGCTGCGCTGGCGGGTGAAAGGGTTGACCCGCCACGGGCCTCCGCATGGGGCTGGGTGGACTCTTGGCTGCCACGTAAGTGAGACCTGCGCGACAGGTAATTTCCTTTTAGTCACATGCATAAAGGTGTAGTTCCTTCTCACAAATGTGTTGAATTTTTAGAATGAGGTAACCTTTTCAAATAATTTGGGAGGCAACCAAGAAGTACAAAATTAAAACATCTTGAAAATTCCTCAAATTTATAAACAAGTTTCTCACACTCTACGAAACATTACAACAACTGCAGCAAACCTGCACTTATCACTACATGGCATTGGACAGAAGGGCGAGAGCCCAGACGTTGCTGGATCGATAACAACAACAACAACAACAACATAAGTTTCTGGATTTACACAAATATCTATCCTCCCATATTCAAGAAAAGGTTATCAAACTGTTTAAAAAATCATCACCTTTCCAGCAGCAGCTCATCAAGATCAAATATAACGATTATTTTGACTTTTAAAATAAGCAGCATACACCACTACTATACACTGTTCAGAGCTTAAAACAGTAATGACAAGGAATTGATTTCCATGTTTTACCTTTAATACATCCAGAGATGATAACAGAGAAGACTTGTAACAGCAAATTCAAATTAAACAATGAAATAACAGCCTTGACTTTAAAATCTGACTGAGTTCAGATGTATGGTGGCGGACAAACAATACTGAAGACAAAAAAATGACAATAACAAAAAAAGGTAGTTAAAAAGCAGGAACTTAAAACAAAACTGACAGCTCAGAGCTCTAACACTCTACTTATCTTTTACAATCTATTTCTTGATGCAGAAAAATAACATTTCTTTAAGTCAGTCATGTCACATATTTACTTTTCTAGTCTTGATATAATAAAGAAAACATTTTTCTGAGCCAATGTATGCACTTACTGGGAGAAATAGACCTTGGAGCACTGCTGTTGTAGGGGATCGGGCTGGACACAGTGCGGGGTCGGACGTTGTGACCGCTAGACGCAGCTTCATGATGTTTTGCAATTTCGTTAAAATGTCTGCAATAACAAAAAAGGTACTCAGGGTTCCTGCCATGAACTTCCCATCAAATTCAAGGAGTTTTCAAGGAGAAATTTTTAAAATTCAAGGAGATTTGGTCAAGAAATCCATGACGAAAGCCTGTTTAAAAAAAAAAACACTTGTCCGAAAGGAATCATATCATATTCATAGTTTCGATTTTCCTAGAAAAACTGTTCCCAGGGTGACTGCCAACCCGGCTTCTCAATTTTCAAGGGGGGGGGTCTCATCCATTCTCCAGGGGCATGTTACATAACAACGACAGTGCATGCTCCATTTATATATTATATATAATATATACACACACACGCATGTAGGTACATTGAATCCAGTCAACAACATGATGTCAGTGTGGCACTGAGATACTGTGACTTAGGTTTTTCAGTCTGTTCTAACTTATTTATATTTTCCCCTCATTATATTCGCCTATATAAACTATATCAAATGAATCTTGCTTTGAGCCTGAGAAAAGGATTAGAACCAGAATATCCACTGTCAAGAACCAGTTGGGGTGTCAAGGCTTATATAATAAACGTGAAAGACAAAAATTATTACTCTAGCTCAAAGTCAAAGTAAAGTAATAACATGAATGGCTCAAGTAGACTTATTCTGAGCGAGAGGTGTAAGAACTGTCGGAGGGCAAGATGCAGTGACACTGAAAATCTGCGAATCTTGAACAGAAAGCTAAAATATACAATACATATAATTAACAATCACCAACGCAATGAAACGGGAACTCTTTAGTAAAAAGAACACGGCTTAGACGATTTGAGTGTAATGGATCCCGATTCCACACAAGGATTGTGCACCAACGCGCCCTTTGCAGAGAGATCTAGAGATCTACCAACTTCCAAGTTCAGTTGTTTTTTTGTCACCCGGTGTTGCCTTCAACCTCCAGCCCCCTCCCCCTCCCGCATGCGTCTTTTTAAAAAATCAATAATCCTACCATTCCCGAGTCCTATACTTCGCAGCGCTCAAACTTTGCATGAACTTTGGTGACCTCAACCATCGCCGATACTAACGATGTGATGAAAACGCACAGGTTCAATGACCGGTCACGATGGCGAGCCCGAGAAGAAGCTTGTATAACTTTCTTTTTCTTTTGTTTTGTTTTTTTTACACAAGTGACAGCACAGGACAAACGATTTATTTTCATGACGACACAGCGTTTGTAATGCAGAGCCTGCATGTTACAAATGTGGCGTTATCAGACTACTATAGGCTCTACCGCAAATTTCTGGGTGGTAACGAAAGCGAAAGTAGATCTTGATTTTCCCGATCGAGCTTCGGTATCGCACATACTTCCACTTGTTGCCACCATTACCGCATGTGCGTGTGTAACGTACTCTCAGGCGGGAGGGACCGAATAAATATTATTCACAATCGCGACCGGCAAAAATGAACTCAAGGACGTTATCGGATTTGGTTTTCAAATATTCGAGAGCTTTTAAGTATTTCCCCGGGTCTTTCACGGGGCAATTTACAGATTTCTTCAAATTCCCGTTGCATTCCGGATCTCGGCGATTTTTTTTCAAATTCCTGGGTAATTCCAGGGGCCCCCGGGATTCCCGGGGCTTGGCAGTCACCCTGTACACGTGTTCCTGTCCGATCTGGCAAAATTTGAGGAGTTTTCAAGGAGATTTTTCCTTGAAGGCAAATTCAAGCAGTTTTCAAGGACTCCTTGAATTCAAGGAGGCCGCGGGAACCCTGGGTACTATAGTTTAGTTTCTCTATTTCCATGTATCACCCTCCAACTAAAGACTCACAGCAAAAAATACTGATAGACATGTGACACACAGTATTTATGACATTTAAAAAGTCCACTTGAAAAGGCTGAAAAATATTAAGACTTAGAGGCAAATCTGATCAGGCAATTTTTACAAAGGAGACCTAGTCATTACATAGCTGCTATTCAGGAATTTCAAAAAAGGAGGAAATCCACGCGAAGGCGGACGCGCACTCTCCGAAGGCCGGAGTAAAACCAGTGAGATCCAGGGGAAATATATACAGGAAAATCTAGCGTACGGTTTTTGGAAGGGAAAACTGTCATATTTGTTAACCATAAGCAACTGAATTAAAATGTATTTGAAAAAAACCCACAAAAAACAAAGGCACTAAGTTGACTAACAAGCATTTGAGTCAATTTGACACAGTTTGGACTTGGTGACTAAAAATCCAGTGTTTGTTGCCAGCTGGTGTCTTATAAAAAGATTTTTTTCACTTTAAACTTGTAGATCTGCATCGATGTAGAGCAGTATTGGATCAAGGAGGCAACACATTTGTCGCTGTACTGAGCGATTTCGGCACTCCTGTACAATTGCGGTCCCCTTTGCACGTGGTGCCCCTGTAGTGTGTTTCTTATTTGGAGATCTAAACTGAATTAAAATTATAGCCTAGGCTATCTAATCTAGATCTAGAATCAAGATATCTAACTATGAGTAGATCTAGATATCTAGATCTAGATTCACTTCCATAGCCACAATAGCCGTCATGTAAACAAACGGGACCGCAATTGTACAGGAGTGCAGCGAATTCTTTATCACACCAAACGCAAAGTGCAGCAAGCGGCTTGTTCAATTTTCTAATCTAATGAACTTTTCAAGTCGCACACCGGCTGCTTCGTTCTCATTCCAGCTCCTTTTATTTTTGCATTCTGAATCAATTTCTCTCGAATTTCCGCCATTTTCAATTACAAACTCGGCATGCTAACGTCCCGAAGCTCGATAGACACTGTGTCACTCCACAATAAACAATGTGAAACTAGCGCCAGGCCTAGGCACAGAAGAATGTAAGTAGAAAGCTACGGGTGGACATGCGCAAGCCGTGTTTTCATCTCTCTCCTGGTTCGGTGTTTTCCGCATGTAAAAAAAAAAAGAAAAAAAGAAAGTATTGCAATTTACGACTGAGAGCGGTCCAGCGGAGGAAGGAGGAAAGTAGCGGGAAAAGCTAGATGAAGCAGAGTTTCCGCTATTTAGCGGGAAAGTGGCAGCAATGTCATTAGTCTGATTTTTATCCCCAGGAAAGAGAATACTCTACAAATTACAAAAAAATATGTCATTTCGAAAGCAGTAACTTGGTCATACAACAGGACAGACCAAAACAACAACAAAAAACACACACGAAATCGTGACATCACTTATGAAAAAAATTAAAGACTTCAAGAGTTTTGCTAATTACCAGAAAAGCAGTTGCTTCACGCTTTGAGACACTTACCTCTCGTCATCCATCTCAAGGCTGGACTCTGACTCGGACAAGTGGCGACACAGGCTCTCTCTTCTCTCCATCTCCAGCTGCAGTCGCCGCTGTAGTCTCAAGTTCTCCTCCCGGATGTGTTTCTCTTCCATCGCATACTGGGCCATCTTTTCAGCATCTGGAACACACACACAAAAAAAAAGTTCTTGTATGAGTTAAGCACCCTTACAGACAATGAGTTTAGCACCCTTACCGATAATATGAGATGACTCCAAAGGTAGACCCCTGCACTATGGGAGTTTTTTGGTTACTCTCTTTTAGTTTTAGTAGAGGTTTTACAGTGCTCGCAACTGCATAAGGTCATATGAGCGCCAGAAGATTAGAGGTGTTACAAGACAGTAACAAATATAAAAATGAAGAAGGGGAGGTAAGGACGATAGATGTACGATAGGAAAGAAGAAGCAAACCACATCAGAACACCTGCCAACCACCCACACTCTCTTTTACAAGGCAAGATTTTAAGCCAACAGACCTACACAAAACAAGAGTTGGGAAGCAGGCAAAACAAGTTCAGAGAAAATGCCACCTCTAAACCAAAGACCTAGGGCAATTCTAAGAGCACCCCCATCACCAGTTTGATGTGGGAAAAGCCATTGTTAGAGTATGCACTTGTCTCTTTTTTTTTTGGGTAAGGTCATATGAGTGCGCGGGACACAAACATTCTCAGTAGGTAGAAAAATTTTAATTTTGCCCAGGTGGCGGCCGAAGCCTTCTCTTATCAATTTTGGACTACCAGTGGATCTTAATGTGTGCAACTTGCACACTGGACCTCTGAGACTTTTCGCCCTTATCCGAGAAAGACAGGTGAGGGTGAAAGACAGCAGTAAGAAAGAGCCAAGGAGTAGCAGCAGAAAGCTGCTGAAAGAGACGAAAGCAGATGACAGAACATTGTTAGAGAACAGAAAAGGATGTGAAAGGAGAAAATTTTAGAGAAGTAAATTTTATGTTCCTATCTGGATTCGAACCCAGGACCTAGTGAATGAGAGGCAAACACCTTAACCTCTAGACCACAAGAGTCCTTAAGCTTTCTCTGAGTCATTGTTTCCCAACATGAGGTACCAAAACAGCAACACCTTAAAAGGAATAGATGAGGAGAATAAAAAGTAGCAGACTAAACCTGAGTGCCACCTCCAACCACCTGCCGTGCAAAAACTAGTCCTGGTATTAAGTAATAAATTTTTATTTTTATTTCTTTTTTAATAGTAGAGGGTTTTACGGCGTTCGCAACTGCATACGGTCATATGAGCGCCAAGGGGTGGGTGTTAACAGAGAAGTCTTTACAGGGAATCAGACTTAGACTGCTCACCTCTCTAGCTTCAACAGCACAAGGTCTGCTTCGACTATCAAGGCACCCCAAAATAGCAGGTCACAAGAGAGTGACAAACATACAAAAGAAGAAGAGGAAAATGACCATAGTAAAGATCAGGAAAGAAAAAGAAGCAGTTCCCTGTTGTAGATCAAGCACAGTTATGAGTGTGACATGAGTCAGCCCATTTACAATTCTACTATGCCTGAACGAGAAATGTCCACCCTTTGAGAATGGCCTAAAGGCACTGCCCCAGGGGGATAAGTAATAAAATAAAATGATGAACAAAACTACCTCTGAAGTATTGTAAGACAAATCAGAACACCAAAACACATGTAGTTTGTTGGTGTGTTTGAGAGAACAGAAGCATATCAACACACAATTATTAGCACAAGACAAGAGTAACTGAAACCGGGGGGGGGGGACCCTACCAGTTGCACCCTCCAACCACTTGCTTAGCCATATTAGAACTTTAATAACAACACCAAAAAGCAGGGGACCACACCATAATAACCACCTACCATCCTAATTATTTCTACCACAAAACAGGGGAAAAAAACACGAGAAAACTCTGGAAGACCCCTCCCGAGTTCCAAAAACTCAAGAAATGTTCATCATAAAAGGCAAACCGAAAACAGATATCGCAGATACTCACGTTCAAGTTGAGCACTCCTCAGCTGATCCTTTAGCCTCGTGACCTCTGACCTCAAGCTCTCAATATGCTGCACTAGGTTAGATGCAGTGTCCCCATTGTTGATGTCTCTCGGACTTGGTGGGGCAGATACAGGCTGGTCAAGTTTTTCCTGAAGAAGTCTGAAAAGTAGCCCGAAAGGAAATTAACACTTATGATTTTTTAAAACACGAGAACTTGTCTCATTTTCTTTAAACTACTCATTTAATAAAATGCTCTCCTCGGTTATACTGTGTCCTGTTTTGGTATCTTATTGTCAAAGACAGCTTTAACGTTTCAAAGCAGCCTATTCTACCAAGATAAAACTTTCTTCATGGAAGGACCTACTGGTCAAATGAAGTGTAAGTTAACGGTCTTTTACTCTGCCACTGAATAAAAATGAGAAAAGTCTGTACTTTGGGATTGCCCATGTGGAGGTTTGAATTCCTAACCTCTGGCATGAGATGTTCTAGTGACTAGCTTCAGAGTCAAAACCATCTTCATTATTTTTACAACATGTTGATACTTTATGCATCCACCAACTATTAGCAAAAAGCCACCAAAAACTTCTTCGAACTTAATGAGGTGTTTTATGAAAAAAAAAACACAGACAATTTAAGGCATTTTGTGAAAAAGCAATTATTGAATAGTAGTTATCAAGACTGTTATTGATTTGTGATTTCCAAGATTAGCTATGTTCATAGTGGCCACAAGGACTATTTATGTACATCAGAAAACAAAAATTGAAGGTAGTAATTTTATCTGGTATGTTTCAAGGCTTTTTAAAAAAGTGGATTATATGTGCCTATAATGCATTTTGACATGAAGTTCTTCAACTGTAAGTCTTGACAATAACAATCTCTTTTTGCTAGGCTTAGACAAGGACAATAATAATGCTGCAAAAAATTTGAGGGAACAGCTACCCTGCGAAAAGAATAATAGATCAGCTTCCAAAGACAACCCATATCTTCCGTCTAGAAGAGCACAGACAACTATTTAATGAATTTTAAAATTCAAAGCAAGACTAATGATCCAGCAGGCCTAACCTTTTTTCAGCCTCCAACTTATCCATCCTCTTCCACAGCCTGTTGACCAGGGACTCTTGTTCTTGTTCAAGAGAGTTCTCTAACTCCACTTTTTCTCTTCTCAACTGAAAAAAAAAGAATTAACAAAATAAATTAACCATTGCTCATTAAAACACAAAACTTTTTTACTGGACCGTAATAATGTCGCTTATCATTCTAGTTATCTGCTTTAAAATTGTCACAGGACAAGTTCTTAGTTATACAACGAAACCTAAATGCACATAAAGTTGCAAGCTCATAATAAAAGTTGCAACAATACAATAAACACAGAGCCTTTTTGTCCTTCAACATGTTCTTAAAAATCCAAAACCAGTCCTTTACCATGATTTGATGAACCCAGAAATACTGAGGATCTTCAAAACAAATCATTTATCGAAACGATATATATATATGGTTATATACAGACTGCCACTCTATGAAATCTAAAAATCAGGATTTTAGAGTTTAAAAATCAGGATCTGGTGAAAAAAATCGGGATCGACGGCAAATCAGTCATTAGGGGCACTGGGGGGAGAGGGGGTCCTGGCTCCCTTTTATGAGACAAGTATGCAAGACAAAACTTTTGCTGGAATAAGTTTATGTTTGGGCCTGGCCCATGTCATAATTGTTACAGTAATCAGGACACCATCGGAGGATTCTGGGTTATAAAAGTGAAAGTAGATCCATTTGGCTCTAGGTCGAGAGAACACCGTATGGTATTAATTTTGTCATTGAAAAAAGTCACAAACAAACTACAAAGTTCGTCATCTGGTGTTGCAGAAGGGAGAGGAGATATTGTTTCTTTTCCCAGAATAGCATTGGTAGTCTGAACGAGTTGTTTGGGTGATTTAACATCTTGTAATTCATGTAGACCGTATCTTTTCTTGTTATTTTCGATGACTGAGTTGACTTTATCTCGGTGGTTAATAAAGATGTCTCTGTGAACTTGATGAGATGGGTGGTCACTGTTTACCCAGTGTAATAAAGTAACAATGGACGTCAACATGAATTTTCCACAGAAGCGTCGCTCGTTCTCAAAGTGATAAGGACCCATGTGTTTGTCTTAACACAGCACTCAGTCTTCCTCATCTGACACATTTCGTTTTATTGTCACCCTTGAACAAAACCAGCAACAAAATAAAAAACAGCAAACAAAATAAAAACCAACGAAAACAACAACAACAATGCAGCTGCTAGACCTGCATGTGAGCCTCAACCAGATTGTCTGAAAATGTTGTGCCCCCC